TCTCACTCATAGCAACTGCACTGGCTGTGAATTCCGCTGTCATCCTCCCTAGTATTCAAAGCAGGAGTGCAGAGATGGGATGGGACTTACCCAAGGTCACATAGCAAGTCAGTGGAGATTTGGCAGTGGATCCTACCCCATTTCCTTTGGTTGGTTGGTTATGGATCTGCTGGATCAGGACTGGATCCTGGATCACACTATCAGGTCACTGGGATGCTGGTGCTGCAGAAATCTCTAGCTGTGAACTGGGTGACAGCAGAGATGACACAAGCTCACGTTATGATGTCCTACTATGAAACCAGAGAGGACTTGTGACACTCACAGCCTGGGCTGGTGACAAAAGCCCTGTGTTTGTGCTGCCTTCAGCAGAGCAATGCTGATTTAAACCACTCGAGCATCTGGTGAGGCAAGGCAGAAAGGGGGATTTAACCGACCACCATGGCTAGATGCACTTGCTGGGTGAAAAGACACCATTTCAGCTGCTGGTAGTTTTCAAACCAGATTTTTCAATTCCAAATGAAAAAGAAAGGAGCCCAAAGTGCTACTGAAGGTCCCTGCAGGTCCCTGCCTGCATCCTGGGGTACCTATCTCGGTGCATAAGCCCCCAGTCTAAGAGGGTTTCCATCCCATCATGCTCGGAGGCATCAACCTGAGCTCCAGGTGATGCTCCCTGCTGGAACACAGAGCCCGCAACCCTGATGAACTGAACTGCATGTGCATGCTCACAAGCACAGAGCTAAGGCTCCCGTTCATAAACCTTGACATATTTAGCAGCTAAAAAAAGACACGGCTCCAAGAGTGGGCAGTGAGACAGCGGAGGGGGAGCAGCTGAAGCTAAGTGGGATCTTGAATCCCAACCCCTGAGGGAGCAGCATCCTGACACTTCCCAAGGTAATTCAATAGAGCCAGTAAGAAGAAAGTATTTAAAGCAAAATAGAGAAGCAGCAGAAATAACCGGAACGCTTGGAATGTTTGCGCTTCCCCAAAAAAGGCACATTTGGATCTCTTCGGATGTTTCCATGTTTATGGTGAGCTCAAACAGCCTCTCCTTTTTCACTTAGCAAGTCAATTAGAAGTCACCACAGCAGCACCCCATGAAACTGCTCCAACCCAGCCCCATTCCAACCCCCCGGCTGGGGAAACCTGGCTTGTTTTAAAGGATACAGCTGAGCGTTTGGGGATGGGGAAGGGAGAGAAAGGGGCAAAGGGTTCATGTGGAGGTCTCCAGTGATAAAAACATGATGGGAGCAAAGGGTGCCCAAAGGACAAACAGAATCTCTATCACCTTGACCACAGCAGCAACAGCTCCAGTGATACCATGGGCTCCTGCGGCTGCCAGAGGTGACGGCACCAGGCACTGACAGCGCTGCACCAGGGATGTGCTGCCTGGATAATGCATTGGGTGTATCATGGTTGTGCCCACTGGCCCCTGAGCTTGAGGGCTCGCTGTGCAACAAGCATCCCTGCTTCAATGCAGAGAGGAAGCTAAAAGGGAAGCAGAACAGAGGCACAGCACAGCCTGAGATGCTCTGAAATGGCTCCACCTGAGCTGCTCTGGGAGACCTTGCTCCCAAAAAGCAGTGAGCATCCATGGAATCACAGAATGGTTTGGGCTGGAAAGGACCTTCAGATCATCCAGTTCCAGACGTATCCCTGCAGGTCCTGCCTCCACGTTGGAGCATCCTGCACTCAGCACGAGAGAATTCCAACAAGAGCTGCTCAGGTGTGCAAAGGAATGGTCAGATCCTCAGCCCAGTGGGCTGGGCTGTGCTGGGGACCTGTGGCCATTTCCCAGTGGGAATGCAGCGTGCCCAGACTTAACTGCAGAAACCTGGTACTTAACTGTGGTGGCTCGAAGCTCACCCCTAAGAGTGGGGAAACCCAGAAGGCAGGAGGACACAGGGCTCAGGCTGTGACAGGAGCTACAGCAAGAACAGGCACACAAAAGGAGGGAGGCAAAGATCAAGATGAGAGACTGCAGCGGTGCTGGCAGCACAGAGGAACCCCAGCCACCTCTGCAGCCTTGCTGGCTCTGCTCCGGGGCTGGAAAACCATCTCACAGCAGCTCCTTTTCCAGCCAAAGATGGGAGCTGAGATTGTGAGAGCAAACAAGAGGCGGATGAGCTGCAGGCAAAATGCTACCTGAAAAATACCCCCCCCACCTTGCTTAGCAATGTAAAGAGAGCAAAAGATGCTCCCTCTGATTAGAGCGATTCTGCAGTTAATTGTGCACCAGATTGCAATCGGGGCTTTCACATCTGCATCCATCAACAGGCTGCTTTCTGCTATCAGATTGCCCTTGACAAACAGCAGAAGCAAGGGAATTTAGAGGAAAGCAAACCCAGGTCAGCCCTCTGCATGGACAGAGTTTGCTGAGAGCACTTCAAGGGCCTTTGGAAAAGAGAGACCTTGGTGTTCTACCTGTAAAGATGTAAAGCAAGACCATGCCGTAAGCCAGAGCTGACCTTTGAGGCTTCCAAGCCCCCCACTGTGCAGATCCTGGGCTGGGATCTCTGAGCTCTGTAGCCAAGACACCCTGCGAAGCTGCTTTGTTTGCCTCGAGTTCTCGGAGCGTGGAAGGAGAATTCAGGAGGCTCTTCCCTCCTGGAAACTCTTGCTGTGACTTGGACACGACTCCAAACACGTGGCCCAGATTCTCTGGAGCTTCTCAGAGCTCCTGGCCCAGAGCTCGGGTCCGTGTGGAAGCCAGAGGAATGTCACAGCGTTTACAAGCATTGACAAGCATTCATTTCTCTCCAGAAGGGCCAGCCCAAGGGCACGGGCTCAGCGGAATCCGCAACGTGGATACCTGAATGCACACAGGGCGTACAGAGCGCACACAGGTTTCTGTCTCACTAAGGGGCAGAGCACAGCACAGAGAGGATGGAGGTTCCTCGGGCACTTGGGAGGTCAAATCTCAATGCCCTGCGCTAGCACAGGCTCCCTGCAGCACCCTGAGCAAGCCATTTTCTCTCTCCGCTTTCCTGCGTGCAAAATGAAGTTGCCTTCATCTCTCTCGTCTGGTTTCAGTGCCAGCGACAGAAGGCAAAAGCTGTCTCCTCCTGCACCCGTGCTCTTGGCTGTCCCCAGCCCAACTGTGCTAAACCAGGCAGCACCAATGGCAAGAGATGCACTGAGGTTGAAAGCAGCTCCTTTGGAAGGCAGTGGGAAGCAGCCAGCACGTTCCTTCAGCTGCATCTCAGTCACCTGTACCGGAGGAATGTGTGACACCATCACTTTGCTCTTTGTCCCTCCAAGCCTGTCTGAAGGGTCCATTCAGGGGCCCACAAAGAGTGCTTGTGTAGTGAAAGGGGCCTTTGCAGCACTGAGAAGTATTTTAGTGCTTCCATGCCTATCTCTGCCAGCATCCCAAAGCTCTATAGATCTCGGGGAGCAAAGCTCTGGGAACAAAGCAAGGTCAAGTGTTAGCAGATGGGGGAACTCAGGCATAGGGATACGCTGACGTGTCCAAGGTCTGTCAGAATCCTCAGCAAGGCCAGGGACAGGGTCACACCTGCAGAGTCCTGATCTTTAGTCACAAAAGCTCGCCTTTTCCAAGCAGGAGAAGAGAGGAGGAACCCCCAACCACTGCTGGGGAGGTTGTTCCACTACTTGTTTAGGAGCTGCCCTCACTGGACATGGTACCTAAACATCAGGAAACTGGGGGCTAAATGCCTCACACCTACACACACAAATAAAGCTTCATGGATGGGGTGAACCTGGTGTCTTCCTTCTGTTCCTGCCTCTGTTCCTTCTTCGATCAGGCTCTGATATATCCCAACAATGCACTTGTGCCTTCTGCAGGGAGGAAAGGATGCTCTAGACTGCACTTGGAAATCTCTGCGTGCCACTGTTCCCACTGACACGAACTGACCAGTTAGCTCATGGCCTGCTGTTTGCATCAAGGGAATCTTTTAAGGACCATGGGAACTGGTTTTCATGACTATCCACAGATGGGGTGCCCAGATTCCATGGCAATGCCTCGTGAGACTGCACAAGACTGTTTGCATTTCCCACATCTCAGCTCTCTGTGTTAGCACATGCTGCCCCATTACTACTACAGAGCAAATTAATCCCATTTCCTTGCAGGAAGAGGGTCCTGTCGGAAGGCACTTGCCCCTTCACAAATCTCAACCAGAGGCACTAACTTTTTGCCTGCTGTTTGCTCAAAGCACTTCCCCTTCAGGCTCCTTCTCTAACCCCCGCACACACCACGCCATTCATTTAGTTGATGCAGAGCACCAAAAACCAACCCCAGCAGCCCCAGGCTGGACCCTGATGCTTTCTTCTTTTCAGAGCTAATGCCACCATTGTGCCCACCACCCAGCACACTCATTCCAGCTGATGTTCAGAGGGAAGAGCCAGCAGTGTATTAAAGCCTGACTTCACAGGAGCTAGTGCTGGCGTGGCAGGGAGACCAGGCTTACCCAGGGGAGCACCTTGCCAGCGAGGAGGGGGACAGCATCCAGGGGGCAAGTTCTGCACGGCCCTGGGAACTTGTCAGAGCAACAGGCGCATTAGGGGGATGTAGCTGAGACCGACAACCACAAACCAATGCAGCACAATGAGAACGCCAAGCTGCCGGCCAGGGGCAGGACTGCAGCCCAGGAAGCCAGCGGCGGCAGGATTCCAGCCTGGGAACCTACCACACTCCCCACCAGCTCCCCTGGAACCTTTCACACCGTAGGCCCCCCCCAGAGGGACCCATGCCAGGGGTTTCCACCGACCGCTGCGTGCTGAAGCCGACAGAGAGCGCAGGGCTGAGCAAGGGCTTCCTAAAGCGTGTTTAGGACGACCGAAAACACGCGCAGGGCTCTCCCCCCCTACGGCAGAGCCAGGTACAAATCCCTGCTGCGCTCGCCCGGAGCCGGACCTCCAAGTTGAGCCGCCCCCTCCCCGAGCACTTTCTGCCCAAATTGTCCCGAAGGCAGCGACGTTCCCCGGCCGGCGGGGCTGCGGGCAGCCACGGGCAGCCACGGGCAGCGGTTACCGGCACTCACCCACCGCCGAGCAGGTCGCTCTCCCTCCTTCCTCCTTCCTGCCGCCGCCACGCCGGGTCCCGGGGAAGGGCAGGGGCGGCGCAACGGGCGCTGCGGGGCCGCTCCGGGGACGGGGCGGTGGCGGAGCGGGGCCGGAGCGGTGCCGGAGCCGGAAGGGGTTGGAGCGGTGCGGGAGCGGTGCGGGACCCGGCGCTCGGCTCCGTGCGGCGCTGGCTCCTCCCCGCCGCAGCCCCGGGATGAGCTCGGCCCCGCTGTGCCCCTGCAGCCGGGCCGGGAGCGGTGCGCGCAGGAGCCGCGGACACGCGCGCCCACAGCTCCAACCTCAGCGCCCCACTCAGCGAGCTCCCTCCGCAGCTCTTCCTCCTGGTCCTCGGCACGGCAGGGAACGGGACCGCCGGGCTCCGTCACTCCGGTGGGGTTGTGCGTTCAGCAGTAGCTTCACCATCCATCCCTGCCATTTGTTGTCTTATATTTAGCCAAAGTCTGTTTGCCAAAAATAGAGCAGCCATGGAAAGAGGCTGACTGGAGGTGCCAACGCTGCCTGGCTGAAGCTAATTAGTTTCTTCTCTCCCCGGCTCTATGAATCCTCACCTTCCCCCTCCAGAGCATCCTGTCTGTCAGGAGAGTGTTTGTAATTAGTGGGTATTATGCCTAAATCTGGGGCATGTGCTGGAGGTTTCATGGGGAGGGGGAAGGCAGAGGGATGCCCCCGGGACACCTCGGCAAGGAAGGAACAAAATCCATCTCCAGAGAGTATGGAGAGTGGGAAGCTGGAGAGCACAGAGCTGGTGAGGAAGAGGAAAGGGGGCACAAGCTCTGCAGGAAATCCTATTGCAGGGAAGCATACAGGAGCTTATACAGGATTTTCTCCTTCCCAGATTCCACAAGGAAGGTTGTGCAGAAGGTGTATATTTGGGCTTCCTTCGTTCTGTTGCTAGCAGAACTCTTTTCCCTTTTCCTCTTAGCGTGTGGGAGTCTCAGTGGACTTGGAACCATCAAGCTTGCTGGGAGACACTTGGAAGAACAGGGAAGTGCTTCACAGATGGCACTGCCGAAGTGTAAAATCTGAGCCCCCGTGGAGGAAAGGGGTGTTTTACCAGGACCCATTTTGTTTGTTCACTTTAGCCTGCCCCATGGCAACACCGAGCCCGGACCTGAAGCCCTGAGTAATGCTCATCTGCTCTGTGGCTGGGGTCAAGCATCTGACACCAGCTCTTCAGTCAGTGCAGTCAGGGAGCACGGGAGCGAGGACCCAGCTGAGCTCACAGGGCTCAGTGGGCTGGAACTGCCCCTGCAGAGCTCGGGCTTGAGGCTGGGGCACGATGGCTGCAGCAGGGGTGAGGCCCATCCTCTGTGACACAGGGCGAGCAGCTGGCTTGTGCCCCGCACCGCAGGGCGCAGGGAGGAGCAGCAAAGGGGGAGACCCAGAGGCCCTCCCCTAGCCCTGGTCAATGAGTACCTGGTCATGTGTGCTGCAGAGTCAGCGCAGCCCGGGGTGACGTTACCGTCACGCTCCCTTCATGCCACCGGCTGCAGGAACCAGCATGTTTCCTGCAGGCTCTGGCATGGCTCTGACTTCCATCCTTGCCCACCTCCTCCACTTAAAGGGGAGATGTCTGCAGGAGGGAGGTATCTCAAGCAGTGTGCCTTTCCCAGCACAGCACAGCCCTCAGCGTAACACCTGCTGCCACATGCTCCATGTCACAGCTATGACACCACTGAGTCCACTTTAAATCAAAAAGCAAAGGAGATCTCCAGCAAAAGCTGTGGCTGAAGGAGGGAAAGCCCCCAAACTGGAGATGGACAGAGAAACCAGCTCCAAGGGAAAGCAATGTGAAAGGGACAAAAACATTACAAGCCATTAGTGGACAGACAGGAGCTCAGTGACTGTTACTGGTGCATAACATCCCTCATAGACATAACTGACAATAAGCATCAGGAAGGGGTTGCTGTAAGCCTGGCAGGGGTGGCTTTGGGAGGAGGGTGTGGAGAAGGGAAGCTCCCAGCAGGGACCCCTGGACATGCACCTTAGAGAGTGGTGGGAGGGAGCTGCGTCCCAGCCTGATGCTCACCAGCACAAGGGACAGGAGCACAGAGCATCTCCCTGCCAGACTGCTGCGGCACCACCGAGACTCTGCCCTGTGTAATGGGGCTGGGTCTGTTCCACCGGGAACAGCCCAGAGCAAACTGTCCCTTAATGTGTGCTCTGTGAAAGGCAACGCAGGCTGAGGTCGCTGGTGTTGGACTTGGCACCCAGCAGCGGGTGCCTCTGCAGTGCTCAGCAGTGCTTGCAAGGCAGCGCCTGCAGGGAGGTTCTCAAACACAGAGGCAGAGAAGGAATTGCTCCTAATCTCGTCTAAGAGCAGACAGTGTGTCTGTGGTTGTGATCACCTCAGCTCATGCTGGAGGAGACTTTGCTCAGCAAATCCTTCTCCTTCTCCCAGTTATGCAGTTCCCAGCACATCCTTTGCCTTGGGATCCCTTCCTGCTCTCCCTCTTGATAGGAATTGCACCTTTTGAAGATCTTCCTCCCCCCGGGGCCCATCCGCTGTCACCTCCTTGCAAACAGCCCCTCAGCCCAGCTGTGCCCTTGCTTGGAGAGGGGGGAGAAGAGGGAAAGCTGCAGCAAGCAGGGGTCAGGCTTGATGGAGACTGGAACCACACAGGGCTGTGACGTCCGTAACCCAGGATGATGGCTCTGAGCTGCTCATGCCATTGGCACAGTGCGAGGGCATCCTCCAGGTAGAAGTGATCCCATCTCTGCTGTTCACCACATCCCTCTTCGCCCCTCCTGAAACCACAGCAGCCAGAGGTGCTGAGCTGGGCTCCTGTGCTAAGCCAGGGGCAACGGTGCCTTGCTCCACAGGCTGCAGGCACCAAGCAGGCTGCAGTGGTTTCCAGGAGCAGCAGGGAAGGCTGCAGCATCCTGAGCAGCATTTCAAACACAGACCCAAGGGGGTTGCCAGGGCTGCTCCTCTCCAGAACCCTTCTTGTCAGCAAACACCACTGCAGAGATGCAAGAGAGGGACCGCGGATGCTGGGGAGCCAGCACAGTCTCGGGGTGATGGAGAGAGCACCTCAGACCCATGGCCAATGCAAGGGCAAAGAGCTGAGCAGAGGTGATACCAAGGCTCCAAATGCATAAGGTGGAAGGGGGCAGCCTGTCCTCTTACATAGTATCTGCTGTAAGCTGTTAGCCCCCATTTAATCCCAGTGCCCAGACTGGGGGCACCCTGCCTGCCTGCCCACTGCAGGTGCCTCGTGTAGCACCCTGTGAGAGGCAGGAGCTCCCCTACACCATCTCCAGGCTGGAATCAAAGCCTGTGGGAGTCATTTGGATGTGCTTAGAAGGGAGCTGACTGGAATGAAGATGTCAAAAGGAACTGAGCAATGATGTGCCAGGCCCAGTAAGAGAGAGTTAATGAAGATACAGCCTCCGAACAGTGTGTACCCAGTGGGCATCACTGTCTCCCTTGGAGAGGTCTGGGAGCTCCAATCTGCAACCCAGTTCTCTCACATGAGAGTCCTGGCAATCCCAGGAAATACAGAAGTATATTGAACCTGACAGCTTAGACTGGAGCAATAAACAGCAGCAACAGGAATGTGCTTGACTTGGAATCACAGCTCAGCTCCCACGGGTTTCACCTGCTTTCTCCGTGCTCCTCCATCCTCATTCCCCTGCCCACAGAGCAGGTCTGAGTTGCAGATCCCTCCAGATCCCCAGCAGCTCCCAGGCACGCCTTCCCCCCTACCAACCTCACATGGACATGCATGTGTGCTGCTGTGTGTAGGTCTGCAGGGGATGTTTTACAGTGACTGCATCCAGGCAGCAGCTCCCTTCCTGCTGCCCTGCCATTCAATAGCGACACAAGCACCGAGTCATGGAAAGAGAATGTGTTCAATGCTTCCCCTGCCCATGGCCCTCTCTTGTGCACAGGCAGGCATGTGGAAATCATTGCCTGGAGACCAGCACTGCATTTCAGCAGCAAGCAGCCTGCTTCAGTCTAAAAGCTGGCTGCTAAGTCAAGGAAAACTGGGATGTGAGCCCTTGCCTAACTCCAGGCCAGCCCGGAGTGTCCGGATCTGCTCATGGCCACTTCTAGAGGCCAAAGGCACCCAATGCTGTCCCTGCAGGTTGGACACAGGGGCTTGGAGCAAGCTGCTCCAGTGGAAGGGGTCCCTGCCCATGGCAGGGGTTGGAGCTGGATGAGCTTTAAGGTCCCTTCCAACACAAACCAAGCTGGGATTCACAACTGAGCCCAGAAGAACCGCAGCCTGCTCTTGTCCCGCACAAGAGCTCCCTGTGAGCACCAACCACCCTAAACTAAACTCGGTGCAAAGCAGTGTTGTTGCCATGCTGGGTGACACGTTCACACTGTACAGTCAGCCGGAGCACGGCTGACCCTGGCAGCCATCAGGCCAACAGCAAACTGGTGAATCCAGCAGCATCTCCATGGAGCATCACCATAACAACACATCCACCAATCCACACCAGAGATACACGCACGTAGCAACCAGGAGCTGCCAAATGGGGGAGAAAGGTCCAAAGTGTGCCCCAAGTGTTTCCTGCAGGATGCTCCTGTCAGTGAAGAGACCCCAGCAGCACCATGGGCAAAGCCAGAGACATGCACCCGGTACAACAGGCACCAGAACTTCTCCCCCAGCAAGTAGCTCTGGACCAGAAGCATCCATTGCCCTGCCAGTGGTGTGCCTGGAAGGGGTTTTGGCCTCTGCCGTTGGTGTTTCCCTTCGGGCTGCCAGCACCCTGTCCATGTGCCAGAGCAGAGAGAGGAAGCCCCAGTGCCAAGGTAGGGCTGGCACATAGAGATGGGGCTGGCACCTCCTAACAGCACTGATCTTCGTAGCAATAGGACAAGGGGTGATGGGTTCAAATGGGGTTCAGATGTTGTCTGCAGGGGTTAAAGCCCCTCGGCTCTGCAGAGAGGAGCCCAGGCGCCAGCGCTGCCGTTCAAAAGCAGCCCAGCACCATTCCCAAAGGAGTTTGCTCCTGGGAGTGGACCTTGTCCCTCCTCACCCCCCGTGAAGCAAGGGCAGGGAGAAGTCTGTCTTTGTCCCAGGACAACCCATCTCTCCCACTGACTCAGTGACAAAGCTTCCCCTTTGCAAGGGTGAGCTGCACCGGAACACAGTCCTCCCTGCTGGGAGGAGGTGAGCAAGCACACAAGGGCTTGAATCTCTGCTTCCTCTTGGGAGCAAGGAGCACTGGGGTTAAGGTACTGCAGGGCAACGTGCCTGGGCAAACCTAACAGCCCAGACGCTTCTCTGCACCAG